CAGCTATGTACCAGGTATGTACCAGCTATGTACCAGGTATGTACCAGGCATGTGCCCAGAAAACACAGGGTAACAAGTCACCACATCATGCAGCCATGTCCCTGTAGGTACCAGGTGGTACCAGTACATAACAGTTCATACCTGTCACATATTTGGCTTTATTATTTGTTGAAAAATGCATTGGTACTTTCAATTAATATTTTTTTCACCACAAACGAATATAATATATTTTATTATTTGAATAGTTTGTGAATTTTAGGGATCAAATGACTTGTATGTTCTAGCATTTAGATTATAGATTTAATATTTTAAAAAACAAGAAAATCTGTTTGGTCTACATGAACACAATGTCCAAATTTAAACTTTTTAATATTTTAGCCTTTAAGAGATCAAGGTTTTGAATTTAAAACTTCCCCACTGTCAACACCCCACCAACACTTAAAGAAGGTACCTACCTTCAGTGAACTGATTCTGAATAATAATGGTTCCCTGGGCCAAGCCGTTAATATTGCCAACAAGAGGACCAGCAGTGGTTACAAGTGTGCTGAAACCAGAGGCTTTCTGGACAAAACCCACATCTGTGGCAATGTCCTCCAGGTCTGCAGTGGCATCGTCACCAATCGACACTCCTAATGTGATGACACCAGCCCTCTTAAGGGCCCGGTCACCGACCCCAGTATCATCAGTGGATGGTCCGGCACTGATAATCACCAGAACCTGGGGTACGCCCTGTGATTCCCTGCTCCCAGCTGTTTCTCTTAAAAGACTCTCGGCCACTTCCTCCATGGCAGCCCCCAGGTTTGATGCATCGCCCCCTGAGTAGGTCAGGCCCTTCACCGCTCCCAGGACTTGAGATTTGTCATAAAATCTATTTAGATAGAGTTTTATGTCTGGGTAGGTGTTGTACTGGACCAAGGCCACCCTAATTTCATCCCTGCTCACTGCAAGGGGCTCAATGATTCTCAAAACCAAATCACGCACATAGGGGAAGTTGGCTGCTCCAACGTTCTCTGATCCGTCAATTAAGAATATTAGGTCAGCTGAATCTTGTGCTTTGAGAAGAGAGAGAGAGAGAGAGAAAGAGGACAAAATGGAAAAAGTGAAAGCAAATAATCTGGTGAGACAGTGACAAAGACTTCAAAGAACTTGAGTTAGCAAATCAAGTGAAGCAACGTTCAGTGTGAACAAATCAACACTAACATCACAAAACATCATACTGCATGTAGGCTGAACCAAGGAGAGCTTCCTAAACATTGGTTGATTTTTGTCAAATCAACTCAGGAACAAACGTTTTACGTCAAAGTTTGAAATGTTTAAAGGTTTGTTGAGAAGTAGAGAGTGATGACGGACAGTACAGCATTGGGAGAAGAGGAAGTCCACCCTATTTCTGCTCAGCTCTCTGAAGGTCCACCAGTGTTTCTGTCAGGTTGTTCTGGACTCAGTCTGGACTGTTGAAGCTCTTTGGTTCTTATTTATTTATTTATTTATTTATTTATTTTGGACCCATTCTGTTGTAGATCAGCTGCTGTGTTTGGGATCTTGGTCCTGTTGGACCCAGTTTGGTCCGAGCTTCAGCTGTTGGACAGACGGACTCACATTTGGCTCCAGAACCCTTTGGTCTACAGAGGAGTTCCTGGTCCACTCAGTGACTGACAGGAGCCCAAATCATCAGCTCTCCACCACCATGCTGACAGTGGGGAGGAGCTGTTTGATGCAGTGCATTCTGGGTAAACATCTGTCCTTTGGTCTTGTGGTTCTTTCAGGTTCTGATGAAGCTTTCCAAATCTAAGTTGTGATGCTGTGTTGTTTTTAGAGAGAGAAGAGGCTGTGACCTTTGACCTGCTGACTAAGGTCTGTAGAGTCATTTTTCTAAGCACTGCATGGTCTGACCTTCAGGGTGAATCTGCTGTGAAGCTGTCTGAATTGTTGTCCTCTTGTGAATCCCTCTCTGTATAATGATGGACTACAGAAACTTTGGAAACGACCTTTGACCTCTCCTTGATCAATGGACAACAACTGTTTCTCTTAGGTCATTGCTGATGTCTTTCCATCTTGGTGTTGTGTTCCTGACTGTCACTGAACCTCTGAAATCCTGGGGAAGCAGCAAAGCTGGAAACAGTTTTTCTCTCACAGGTTAAACCTTTTTTTTTATTTTTTTTATTTTACTAATAATAAAGCAGTACCTGTTGTGTGTCTTTAAACACCTGAAGTGAGATTTGAACCATTTTAGAACCTGGTAAATAACAGATCAGGTTTTGTTCTGATACTTTAAGGGTCCGTGGACTTTCCTCTTCCCTTCGCTGTAAATGAGTTATTGAACAGTTTAAAATAAACTTTATTTTTGGTATTTTGTATGTCGGCTCCATTGAGTTCAGCCTTCCCATGCAGACTCTTGTTATAGACCTCAGGTGGAATGACCAGTCATGAACCCGAGGATCATCTGTGAAACCTGCAGGTTTAAAGTACTCAAGAACATTTTAAATGTGACTCCATTTGTACTGCATTTATTTTAAATACATTTGGAATCACCTGATCATGTCATGTTTTAGTTCCTTCAGCGTGATTAACATCTTTCCAATTCCTTTATTTTACCATGCACATCATAAATGATGGCCATGTGAGCTGTTCACGTTCTTGAGGTACTTTTGCAGGTACCGAATGACTCCGGGCAGGTTCATCACTGTTTTAAATGCACAATATTGAACATGTTCAACATGGATAGACATCGTGACCAATAAAGAGAAACAAACATGTGCAGGACACTTAAGCAGTGGTGCGTGGTTAGATACTGTTAAAAGCTCATTGATTTTAAGTTTTTAAGAGTAAATTCAAGTTCTCAAGAACTCTTGTAAACCTGAGGCATCACCATGTGTGTTTTGGCTACAGGGATGCAAAATTGGCTTTAAATTTGTTAGGTGTGTAGAGAAAAGAAAATGCAAAGGTTGTCCACTAGGGGTGCCAAAAAATGCACCAGCATTCTGTTTAATAAACAGCTGTTCGGAGCAGCGTGAAACTTGAGGCTCTTTCATTAAATAGTTCAGTGAAATGTTCGCACGGATGAGTTTTCAGAAATGAAGCGAGCGTTTCTAAACCCAAAGACGTGTGGAGCAGAACTCAGCTGGGCTGACATGAAGCACAACATGTTTGAGGACCACCGTGACTTAGTGGTTAACACTGTTGCCTCACAGCAAGAAGGTCCTGGGTTCAATCCCCAGTTTGGACCTGGGTGGTGGTGATCTGTGTGGAGTTTGCATGTTGTGTTTGTGTGGATTTTCTCCGAATACACTGTTTTTTTCCCACAGTCCAAAAACATGCATGCTGGGCTGCCTTCAGGTCCAGGAGGACCTGAAGCAAGAGATCTGTGATCTCTTTGGGATCCACCTGGTTGAATAAAGGTTAAGCGAGAAAAAAAAACTACCATAAGCTTAATGTGTGACTAACCCCTGCCTTTAAATCACGATGACATAACAGTTCAGCAATTCTCTTTGTGGCTAACGTTTTTTTTTTTTAACTAAATACAAAGTTGCCAGTTGTCATCAAGGATCTTCTCTCTCTAACAAATCTTCCTGACCAGATGTCATCACTTCATCACATTACTGAGCCGCAGCACCTGCTTCCCTTTTCATGTGTTGACTGTTTCGCTTCTGTTACTACCTCACTTCACAACACAGAAGCAGACCGGGGGTGGGCTGGCTTTGACCTCCCTCGCCATGTAGTCAATTCAGAAATAACTTCGAGGCATTCAGACCCTGTAGTCCTGGACTGAGGTGTGTTGTGAAAGAGCCTTTGGTGAGTCAATGATGGGACATGAGGACACTCAAGGTGGTCCACCAAGCTCTTTGGATCTTAGTGAAACAAATAAGCCTCAATGTAATGACTTATTTGGGTCCACGCTCCTTGGGGAGTATAAGATGTTGATGTGTTTTCTGAGCCCTTTCCCAACTCCTTAACTTCTAATCTACGCCATAAGAAAACTTGAAGGACTTCCGTTATTAGAAGCACTAGAGACTGACTGCATTAGTCAGGGTTAGGGTAGTTAGGGTTTATTAAATGTGCTGAGAGAAAATAAAAGTGTGATGTTAATGTTGCAGGTGAAAGTGAAACGTTATAGTGGTAAATAAATTCAAACCTTGGTGGTGTTAATAATAAAGTCTGGGATATCATACGGAGCAAATTACTCCTGCAGATACGTTAGTACGATAGTTACCTGTCCCTCCTCCCGCCACCGGGGCCTCATTGGCCACAGGACCACCCCCTGACCAGGTCACTGCACCACAAATGCTCACTACTAAGTCTTGAATTATAGCCTGTAACTTCAGGAAAGAGTCTACATTGAACATATGAGTCTCGTGAGGCCGGCTGGCCATCTCCCTGAGCTCTGAGTCCACCGCATCCTGAACTCCCACTGCAAACATCTCCACTCCCGCCATCTGCAGCACCCGGGCCGGCTCGGACACGTCGTCCTGCGAGCGCCCGTCTGTCAGCACCACCACCACCTGGGGCACCCCGTCAGCTGCACGGCTGCCCGAAGAGGCGGTCAAATGAGAACGGATCAGGAAGTCCAGACCCAGGCCGGTCCGGGTGCCTCCACCACGATAAGACATGGTCTTGATGTGTCCCAGGGAGTCCTGTGTGGTTGGGTAGCTGTTGAGGTGGAACTCTGTATGGGGCCTTCTACTGTACTGCACCAGGGCAAATCTAAACCTCCCTCCTCCAACGTGGTGCAGAGACTGGACCAAGGTGTACAGAAAGTGTCTGACATGCTCAAAGTTCTGCTCGCCAATACTCCACGAGGAATCCACTAGAAAGTACATATCAGCTCCCAAGCCTCGGGTGCAGTCTTCAGAGAGTGCGGGCAGGACAGAAGTGAAGACCAGAGAAAAATATTTTGTGCATCATGCAAAAAAAGTTTGTTTTATGACTGTACAGAAGTCAGACGTTCACTTCATGACATGAAAGTCAGGTTCAGTTAAACCGTTTCTTCCAGGGAGGATTGATGAAACAACAAACAACTTGAGTGATTTTTAAAAACAAGTTGGGATTTATTTAGGCTTTTTTTTATTCACACAGGGTTAAATGATACATACAGACTCAAATAGATCCATAAATTCACCTAAATCGGTTCACAAGTGACGCTGAAGATTTTAGAAGGTCTTTTAATGTAAGAACTATTTCCTTCCAGTTAGTGGTCATGATTGACAGCAGCTCACATTTTCTCTTTGCCAAAATAAAATTAATTTGTTTGACAGCACTGGTTGGATTGACTGGCACCCATCCATCACCTAAGATGGAGGGAAATTGGTTCTCATGTTCAGGAATAACCCAGTAAACACCAGAATAGAAGCCTGCCATAAACTGGAACCTGCTGGAACACCAGTCCACAGTGAGGAGAGTTTTACATCATTATGACTGAGAGGACCAAAAATGAGGCTCCAAAACCTTCAAGCTGGACTGAAACCTGCAGCTGTCCATGGAGAGAAGACAAAAGTCTTCTGGAGAAAAGTTTGATGTTCAAACAAGACAAAGATTGAGATAAAAAGGGCGTTCGGTGGAGTCGACGTGAGGCTTTCAGACTGAAAGATGCTGAACCAGCTGTCAGGCCTGGTGGTGGCATCACGCTGTGGTACAAAGTGAGAATGACTACTTCCAAGTTCTTCAAATTCACCTCAAACCAACAGCTGGTGGACAAATCAGCTAACATTAAGATTCTGGGATAGTGTTTCCGAAACCTCGACCTCAAGACAAATGAACAAATGTGGCTTAAAAGTCGGGTTTAAAATCCGAAAACCAGCTGATTGACATAAACGCCACCAAATCTGCCAAAATAAAGAAGAAAAGTGGTCCAATAAGAGACAGTTCATCAAATATTAGTGGGGTGTATAAATATATTTGAGCCTGCATGGATCAAATTAATGATTGTAAACGAAGTTTTTATGTTGGTTATTTTTTCCACCCTGGAAAAGAACGGTTTAAATAGATCATAAAAACCCAAATTATTGACCTTCATGTCCACGATGGGTGCATATAAACTTCTGCTTGCACTAAACCTTCATTAATATAGTAGAAACTGACAAACATCAGCCTGCTTTGGTTCTCAGAGACATGAAGTTCTGACCCATGTTGAGACAGAATTGTTTCTGTCGTCCTTGTATTGGAAACGATGTTGAAAAAAAAACCAAACGATTGTTTACCATGAGGGAAAATAATGCTGTTCTTATGTTTTGAACAGAAACTCAACGTCCACAATTCATTTGGAGTAAATTACATCTACAAAATATTCAACCTACTTCCAGGAAAAGTCAGGATGCCATTTAAAGTTTGAACGAATAGAGAGTGATATTGTCTGCAAACGATTTAACCTCCATGTTGGAAATAAAGGGAAGGAAACGCATGTTGGGAGTCTGACTTAAATATTGTTCAGAACAAGAGAAAACTTTTAAAATGTGGAAGTTACCAAGTTATTACCTTTATTTTTTATTTTAATATAAACAAGACGGTTGGAACTTTTTGTTCTGTTTTGAATCGACTCGGGACCAAATGTTTCCGGATGTTTGTTCTGTTGGAATAACCAGCAGTAGGGGAACCGTCCTGAAGCGACGGAGGGATTACCGCATGAAAAATCACTGCTGTTTGTTATTTCCTGCCGCCGTTCCAGCAACATGTTGGCGTCAAACTTCAACAACAAAACTACAATTAATATCTCCTTCTGCAAACAAGTGAGGACTTTTTAAAGTTTTGAACGGCATCCCAACGTTTCTGAAAGACATTTAAACCAAGACTATGACTGTGAGAATAAAAGGAGGTTATAAGATGTTTCCACTTACTGTCCTGAGCGGCCAGTTTGGGGACGAGTCCTGCAAACAGGACACCCAGAAGGGCCCAGAGAGGCAAGAACTGAGGCCGCCTCATCTTCAGGCGAAACTAAGAGGAAGACCTGAGGAAGCAGAAACACAAACGTCAGTCTCAATGTGGACAAATGCCTCTCCTTACAGAAAAACATCTATTTACCACTTTCTACATGAGATCACATGAACATGTTTCAAACGGCAGGAAGCAGGTTTCATGTGTTAATAAATTCACCCAGATGAAAACTGGATCTCTACATGTGAACTTCTTGGGCTTTTTTCTGGAAGAGCAAAACTTCAACTTTCGAAGCTGCGTCTCGATTTATGCAACGATTCAATAATAAATATGAAAGTTTTCACTCTTTTGGTTCACAGAAAAATAATCTATGTTTTTTTTCAGTGTTTTATTCTCATTGTTCCTTTAACACTTGGTGAGCGTGGAAAGTTTTGCTTTTAACACACCAAAGAGGCTTCAAGGTTCTTCATTGTTCCAAAGAGTTTTGTTGATTTTTGAGCCATTTTGTCGTCAAAACATCTGGAAATTTAATTCCCATTTAACATGTTTGTACAGGAGTAGTTTCTTATCAAAGTTCATGCTCAATAATCCAGGTAAAAAAATCCAACAAGTTCAGTCAGCTCCTCTGGACAATTTCTTTTTGTTGAAACGTTTCGTCTTTCATCCAAAGGACTTCATCAGTCCGAGGAGCCACAACAAACATAGTCCCATAAGCAGCACACTCACATAGTGGGCCAACCAGTTTGATGGTGATAAGATGGTTTCCGGAGTTCGCCCTCTCCCCCGTCGACTTGTCTGAGTACTCTCTTATATTTTTGTAAAATTATTAAATGAGTGTCACTGTTTTAAGTTAGGTCAGACCCAGAATGCTGACTCAACACCATGAGCTTTGAAAATAAACTGTTTTATTAAAAACAAAACCGAAGAGCTGTCGGGACAACAAATCTTACAGAACACTCCAGGAGGACGAGGACAACAACCTTAAAGGGCACCATGGGACGACCTGACTGAGAGAAGACTGACTGAAGTTAAAGAATGGAGTTGACGAGGAAGTGGACACACCTGGGCTGGACCTGGAACGGATTAAAGTGGGCGTGGCCAACTGACTGAGGGGTGAGTGGTGTCACGGGGAAAACAAACCAAAGCACATGCAGTGTTTAACTCAAACATTGAGTTTTTCTTGTGAAAAAAATCAACTTCCTGCTTCTGCAAAGAAAATATTTTGTCCGTTTATTTTCAACGTTCCAGGTTCTGCACACGCTTTGCTGTGGTTCTCTAATCACGTTCCATTTCATGTTCTCACTCAAACACCGATCCATCAGGAACCCTGAGTGATACCTGGACCTAAAGCTGTTTTAGAAAGCGTTGCAAAGTGTTGGCACAGTCTCCAGTTTTTAAACTCCTCATCATCTTGATGTGCCTCCCGCCTGAATCAGGCGAGCTGCGGTTCTGGTAGCAGAGGGTGATCAGAACCACCTGTTGGAGCTGCCGGCCCAAACACTTCACTAATCATCTCTCCTGCGCAGCTCCCAGTTCTCCAGCTCACTTTATATGGCGTCGTTAAAGCTGGAGCAGAACTCCAGTTTCTCTGCAGGACTTTGTTTTCAGGTTAGTCAGTTTTTCCTCCCCTGGAAAGTGAAGGTCACACCAGGACAAGGGGTACTGTACTCCACGAGGGCTTTGCTTATTTCTTCCCCCTGAAGGTGTCCAATAACAACAGGAAGGTAAAAAAGAGGTTCACACCCCGCTAAACTGAACCTAATTACTGTCAGACCACCCTGAGGAGGTGACTCAAGTCTGGAAGGTTTAACGGCTCAGAAGCGACAAGAAACAGAATATTTTATACGAATAAAAGACAAATAAAGCTGATTAACTGCAGTTAGACCGTTATTTAGGCAAGAGGATGAAAAATGGGCTCATTCTGTTAAAGACTTCATAATGAGACGGTGTTGAAGTGGCTGGAAGACACAGAGCTCGCCGATTAGTTTTTCTTTAGCCAGTCTGGAGGTTAGAAAAACAAATAATAGAAATAAATCTACTTTAACACAGAATTTAAAATTATAATCGAGTCAGAAATGTGTCCAAATCTTCATCTTCACCCCAGACCTCCCTCTCCACAGAGACGCTCGCCAGCTCCTCCTGGGGGACCTCGAGGTGTTCCCAGACCAGAGGAGATACACAATCCCTCCAGAGTTCTGGGTTTCCTCCCAGTGCCAAGAAAACCTCCAAAAAGGAGGTGTCCTGATCAGAAGAGCCTCCAGAGGAGCAGCAGCTCTACTCTGTGCTCCCCTGGATGACGGAGCTCCTCACTCTTTCTCCAAGACTGAGCCACCCCCCACAAAGGAAGCTCGTTTCAGCTGCTGTGCAGGATCTGGTTCTTTTGGTCCTGATCCAAACCTCAAGACCACAGGGGAGGGCTGGAAGCAACCACAACACCCCCCACAGAAAGCCTCGGGGAACACAAAGTCATGCTCGCCTAACTGCTCTGCAAGGGTGAGAAGGTGGAAAAGCCAAAAATGTTTAATAGC